TATATTTATTATTTTTATTAGTAAAAATGTTAAGAAAACAAAAAAATAAGAAAGAGAAAGAAAAGATTGGAAGAATAGCTGTTATTAAGAAAAACCAGAATAAGCGAAAAAAGAAATGTTGGAAAAGAGTGAACGAGTGTTAAGAAAATAATCAAATTATAAAAAAAATCTAATTTTCATATTTTTTGCAATTGCAACAAATTGACTTTTCAGTAACAAAAGTTTAAGACTAGTTTTAATGCAAAAACGATGATATTACTGCCACAAAACGCAAGTCTGTAAAAGATGTTTTAAACAAAGAGTAAAAATATAAAAAAGTTTGTGCTCATCACAGACATAATAATGAAAAAAAAAAAACAAATAAGAGAAAAGTTGCGTTAAAAAAAATAAAAGACGAGATAACTCTAATTAAGCGTAATGATGTTACAAAAAAAGTAACAAAAAAGAGAAAAAAACTAATAATAAATATTTGCAAAAAGGAAAAGTTGTTTCCAAAATTCGCGACCAGTTTAATCTTTAAGTTTGAGGTAAATATACACTTTTTTTATGTACTAAAATTTCTTTATTATTTTTATTAGTAAAAATGTAAAGAAAACAAAAAAAGAGAAAGAAAAGGAGAACGATAGCTACTAATTAGGAAAACCAAAACTGAGAAAGAAAAGAAGCGAAAAAAAATGTTGGAAAAGAAAAAACGAGTGGTAAGAAAATAATCAAATTGAAAAAAAAATAATTTTCTTATTTTTTTGCACTCCATTTGAATTTGGTTCAAAAAATGTCAATATTGTTTCGAATTCTTGAAACCAGTTTTAAGTTCGTGATCTCGGTTTTTACAGGGAATCACATTTCAGATACTATAAAACTGCAACAAATCGATTTTTCAGTGAAAAAAATTTAACTAGTTTTAATGCATAAACTGCTACAAAATGTGAGTCTACATAAAATATTTTAGCTAAACAGACTAAAAGAATAATAAAAAAGTCTGTACTCACAAATAATGATAAAGAAAAAATAACACACAAGAAAAATATTGGTACAAAAAAATAAAACTGTAAAAATGTAAGTAAAATAGAAAGAAAAAAAAGAATATTTATTAAAAACCCAAATAAAAAACGAGAGAACTCTAAAGCGTCAATAGATGTTTAAAAAAGAAGAAATAAAAACAAAAAACGATGAAAAGTTAGACAAAAAAAAGAAAAACCAATAATTACAAAGGAAAACTGATTCTGTTCACGTCCATTTTAATCCTTAAGTTTAATATGAATATAACAAACACTATAATTTTTTACGTACTAAAGTAAAAAAGTGCAAAAAAGAAAAAGTCAAAATGAGAAAGAAAGAAAAAAAGAGCGAGAAAAGGTTGACTAAGAAATGATAAAAATCATTTTTTTTATTTATTTTGGCAGAAAAACTGTGATTTAAGCATTTATTTCGTTAAAATACAGCTTTATTTTGTTGAATGATCTCTGGTAAAAAAGCCATCAAAATTGAACATTTCAGAATTTAATAAAAATGTTGAATTTATGCTAAATTACAGTTTTAACAACATCTTATTTTTAAACAGAAACTATAAATAAATAGATTACGACATTACGTTTCATAGTAATTTAATGAGTTGCAGAAAAAATAAATATGTTGTTTGATCTCAATTCGAAACTAATTACCAATCCAATTTAGAAAATCACTCAACTTTATCAAAACCTCCTAATACAATAAGCCATAAAACCAAATTGACTCTAATAAAAGCGTAAAAATCGCCCATCTCACAACTTAATAGCTCTTGATTTGGCCAAAACTCATCATTTTTGGGTGAATCAGTCTCAAAATGAAGCTACAATTTTTTATTGCTTTGACTCTAACTTTGGCCAAAGCTGAGAATCCCGATTCTGCAGTGCAAGCCCTGAAGCAAGAAAGGTAAAAATCTCACATTTTGTATTTTTTTTATTAATTTTTTTTAATAGTGGACTTTCATGGGTGTTTCCAAACCCTGGAGTCGTCCAAATGCAATACCGCGCAAATTTGGTCAAAAATCTCGACCATGAAGTCGATGGTAGTGTAATTCTGGAGAAAAATTTGCTTGGGGGCGATCCTGTGGCAGTTGGGGGGGGAATTCACTACAGTCACACCCCGAGTAAAGTCAATTTTGGGGTTCAAGCTGTTCATGGGGCTCAGGGGACGCAATTTGGGGCTCAAGCCACCCGAAAAGTCTACCAAGGGGGAAATAATGCCGTCGATGTGGGGGTTGTCTATGGGCAACATTTTGGGGGTCCGGGAGGGAATAGTAGACCTGTGGTAGGTGCAGTAGTCAAAACAACACTTTAAACTTGTATTAAACTAAACTGTTTCTCAAATAAATACACAAACGATCAAAGTTTTATTTTGGAAAGAAGCCGAAAAGGTCATAAACTTCGATGGCGCCAAGAAAATTCTTAGAGCTGTAAAACTCGAGTGGAACATCAGTGTAAACGAAGTTTGTTTAAATTTGTAATTAGTGATTTTAAAAGGGAAGAATTAAAAAATTTTGTTCTTATTTTGGCAGTACTAAAAATTTGGTAACTTCAGAAACTCTGAAAACTGAAAAAATTGGTAATAAAAAATTTACTAGCTCCTGGACTATTATACGAGTACAAAATTACAGTTTTTAAACCAAAAAGCCCAGAATTTCAAGAGTTATTTAATCATTCAAGAAGAAATGGTTTACAAATCGAGTTTTTTACTTTTTTCCTTCTAACAATTGCAGAAAAATTCCTGTTTTTAGTCTATTTTCTTAAAGTTCTAATTTGGAGTTTCCTTAGAGTTCTAATTTAAAAAAAGGTAGTTGACAACAGAAACCGATTATTGATTCAACAATAATAATGTTTAATTCATTGGCAACTTTTTATTTATTTGACATTTTTTTCAAATAAACCTGTTTCTGACTTTGAAAAACATGCTACAATTTTTAGCTTAAGAAATTGAAGAAAATATAAATATGAAATTTTTGCTAAATAAAATTGTAAACACATGAACTTTAGAATTGTTTCAATTCAGTAATTTTCTTATTTAACGCTCCAAAACAATAAAACCAATCAAAATAACACGTTTAGAGTTCGATTTTTCCATAATTTACATCAATCTCTTAAAACAAGTGAGATTTTCCCTGATTAATGGGTTCAACATTCGTTAAAAAATAAACAAGTTTTTTCATAGCAAAAATTTTTTTTAGTTTGGGAGATATGTCCAAATTCAAATTTTTCTACATCTCAACTTTAGGTTGCATTATTAAATCAGAAAAACGGATTCTTATTTTATATACTTAAGTAAATGGAAGTAATCTTTGAATCACTCTCTATGGCATAAATAAACATAAAAATAGTTTTCCTTTTTTGTAAAAAGTTGTTTATCATAGGAAATTTTTATTTATTATTTTGCATTATCCAATTTTAATTTTTAAAATTGTTGACGATTTTTCGGTTTGTTTTCAAATTTCTTAAAAATAATTGTTTTGGATTTTCTTAGTTCTATTAGAAAACCTATACAAAATTACAGTTTTTAAACCAAAAAAAACTAGAATTTCAAGAGTTATTTAATCATTCAAGGAGAAATGGTTTACAATTGATTTTTTTACTTTTCTCTTTCTAATAATTGCAGAAAAATTCTTGTTTTTAGACCCTCTATTTGCTTAAACTTAAATCCCTTTGCAAATTGAAGAAGTAATAAATGGTAGGGTTCTAATTTTGAGAAAATAATTGACAATAGAAACCGATTATTAATTCAAATTGGTTAAAAAAAATATAATTTTTAGTTGAATGGCCAAAGTATATTTGTC